AAAATACCCCTCATAATTTCGGGTAACTTTCCTTAACTAGACATGCTGACTTCAATCAGCCATATCTCACACATCCAAATTCGAAACTTAGCAAACTTTGTGGCGTTGAAAAGAGAATCCAAAGACCTTTTATTCGATATCTTATGAGCCACATCACTCATAATGTACTGAATGTTATGGTCGTTTGAAGTTGACCCAAAACATAAAAGAACTTACGAATGACTTGAAAGAATTCTCTTTAGTTCTTTTAGAGCTCAAGGTACTACATCTAGTGACCTTAAAACATAAGAAAATTTAAATTCCTTAGTAAAATCCTACTCACAACAAAGGATGGTTCGAGTCTTAGCTCACAAATTTTCTAGGGTGTTACAATATCTCCCCCTTGGGATCATTCGTCCTCGAATGGCGGCTGGACTGGGTAAGGAATGGGGTTACTCTTATTATATCTGCCATACACACTAGAATTTCCCGCATTACTACTCGGAACCAACTAAGGGCTCTCATTTAACTATTTCTCATAGTAAGACTTCATCCTCCTCTTCCTCCACATTTATAACCTTAGATTGAATTATTACGCCATCATCATCATCATGAAGAACGTTAACCTTCTTCTTATACTATCACTCCCCTGATAAAAGGACCTCTTAAAAGATATCTCACATACTCTTTGAACTCATTACTATCTTATTCTCAAACACTTGACTTGATTTCTCATCTTATCATCTCCCCCTTAGGTCTAAAGCTGACACTTGAAGGCTATGGACCTGTACCATTATCTTTAAACTAGTCTACATCCCCTTTTACCCTAACACTCAGGAAAAGTTTATCTTATGATTACCGAACTCTCCATAAAAAGGTACTAAGACCTCTTTCTAAGATGCTTCTCTTAACCTCAATTGGGACCTCGTCTGGCCACATACCACCTCGGGTGTACATCTTACTTCTCTACCTTCATTCCTCTCCTCAATGGGTCATAATACCACATTTTCATTCCAAGGTACCACTTTGATCTCCTCACCTATTTCAGGTCAAACCTACTAAATTAGATCTGAAAACTAACACCATCACCCTCATAATTCCATCTTTTGATCACGACAGTCATCTAGAATTCAAGCTTAGTGTCTAGTACTAAACACGGATATCAATATGATTGCTCACACCTTATACTATTTGTGACTACCAGAAAAGTCAAGAAACACTTTCCCACTAAGATCTCATGGCAAATAGGAAATCTTTAGCTCTCCGTCTACATACCTACATATTACCGTCACCTCCCATTTCACAACTTAAGTACTATTTACTCGCTTACTGCGCATTATCTCTCAAATAGTTCTATCATCCTTTGAATACCATGGGGTTTTCCCCTTCAAAGTTCATAAGCATAGTTTGGGTCTATCACCTCATGAATACTCCGCTTTCTGATTCCACACATATATTTAGTCTTCTCTAACACAATGACATCAAATCTATTTTAGTTAAAGCATATTCTATATCATCCTCACTAGTAACTATTGATTAATGTTTCAAAAACATTTCATCCAGTTATAAGTGTTAACAATCGCTAGTCCATATATAACCCAACTAAATGAGTTGGGGTCGATCCCACAGAGAGTAGATTTTCATTCGAATTCAATTACGAAAGTATGACAACAATCTCTTCAACTGAACACTTAATGCACCTTTTTGGTTTAAGCTCCAAATTTCCGATTATAATTATCAATCCAATTCAACTCTTAACACGAAACGATCAAATAGTGAGGTAACACTTAGGGAATTGACCAACCAATTATTGAATTTAACTTAGTGGATGAACATCGATGCTCACAATAAGATAAATTGTCGTGGGTAGGTCGGACTATATGTAAAGCAATTTTCTCTCGAACAATTACCTTATCTTTGCTGAATTATCTCAAACTTCAACACTAGTCGGAAGATGCCCAGCCCTTGTCCTCATCAAATCCACTCTCTCGAGCTAGATACAAAGGATAGATCCCATGTTCCACTTTCTTAAGATGAAATCATAGTGAACCACTACTAAGGATGCTAAATTTGCTACTTTGGCTCTGGACTTCTCTCTCGAGCAAGCACAAAACACTGAACTTGTTACACTAATCATGAAAGACGACCTGAAAATACAGCAGCAATTCAGACACACTTCAAATTAACACCATTATTAGCAAATCAATGACACCCACTTAGTAAAACTCAACAATTGGTAACATAGTCAAAACTCCAAGGAGAAGGTTTTAGCCAATCATAGCAAAAAGAGAAAAATCAATATCTGCCATGTTTTCCATAGCTGGGTAAAAACGAAAATTGAAAGTTAAAGTTAACTAAAAATCTCCTCTATTACAAAACCTCAAAGAAAGTCTCTCCTAAAATCACTAAGGAATCGCCTCTAGTAGTGTTCTTTCTCTCAATCTTTTGTTACTCCTGTTTCTGAATGCCCTCTCTGTCTAGCAAAAAATCAATTTATGCAACTGCGATATGTGGCTGTTTAGGACCAATCGGGAAGGTAAGTCGGGCTTCGCCGATAGTTCGGCGACTCGACAATTTTCCTTCCTCTCGCCTTCAATTTTCACTTCTTCTTAGTCCAGCTAGTGTAATTTTAGGCGATCCTGATCTAGATCACCAAGTGGTTCCGCGAGTCGCCTTTTCTCCTTTCATCTCGTCTATCAACACTTGTTTGGATCTCCATCAACACTTTTGGCGACCTGGTCATCCAACGCTGAATGGAAATACTGCTCGCCAAAGTTACCCCTAATTTAGCCTCAGCGTTCTCTAACTTTAGGTGGTGGACTGGAAACTTGGAGAGTCGCCGAGTGGCATTGGCGATCCTCAATCCTGTTTTTCTCTTCTCTTTTTCGCTCGTGTTGTCTCTATTTCCCATTTATGTCCTAGCTTTGTTCCTCAATTCATGTAATTGGAAATCAAGAGTTTTGCATCAGTTATTTCCACAAAATAAGCATTTGAGGACACTAAATAATTGTAAATAAAGCCCTAAATGAGTCTAAACCCCGGACTCATCAACACCCCTAACTTAAACTTTTGCTTGTCCTCAAGTAAAACTCAAGTTTAGCAGTTCAAAAATGATGTCTCAAGCAGTGCTACACAAGACTAAATTATAAATGCACACGATCAAGACTCAACTTATTCATGCAAGGATAAATTGTGCACTTAATGGTTCATGTTTTTACTCACCATTACAAAATATTCTCAAGTTCACTATACTTGCTTCAAATGCAAATTCAAGCTCAACAAAGGTACTCAAATGCCCTCACACAAAGGATGATTCCATATTGACATCCAATAGTTCAACAATTTATAGTTCTAGAATCACAAACAACTCTCACACTCACAAAGATTAATACATGCATGATTTCACCCATAGGTTTGCCCTTATTTTCCAATCAACACTTGTTTCAACTCACTCAAGATCACAAAGGTCTTTTCAAGGCTTGTAATGGGGTTGAGTGTACATGTATGGTCATTTAGACTCAGTGGCTGCTATCCTCATGAGATGTGGCATGAACAACACTTTCTTCTCTTTTCTTCAACAATTTCATTCAAGTTCAAACTTCACCCTATTATGTATTTTCGATGAAATTTTGGACTCCCCATTTTCTTTTGCAATTTTATTTCACAACTTTTTCATTCTTTTTTTTTTGTATGGAGGGGTTCCATCTTTTTTTTTTAAACCATGGGTAGAGGGGAATGTCTACACATTTCTTGATTTACCTTCTCTTTTGACCACACCCCAAACTTAGGCTTTTGGCCTTAGGTGGCTATTCAACAAAACACAACTCATGAGGATTAAGGGTGAAGGGATAAAGAGATGTCACAATTTCATCAAGTTTCTTCCAAGAAAAGGTAAGGCCCAAAGGGTGTTCAAGCAGAGGTCACACACTCACAAGGTAGGCCACAAAAGAGGTATACTATCAAATTGTTTCACTCTTTAGAATTGTTGCCTTAGATCATTTCAACAGCTTGCAACACTTACTCAACCGGACCAACAGGGAAAATTCTAGGTGTCATCATACAAGGTTCACGGTAAGCTCATCACACAAGACATTGACACCAAAGTCAAACAAGACTCCACACTTTCATTAGTGTGCGAAGTTCATTACAAGAGACTCAATTTGATAATCGGCTAGTCACAACGAGATGCAAAAGGTTCACATATTGCGTATGCAACATCATTTGGCCTCATCGTAGCCGCATATCCATTTTTGTTCGACTGAGAGCACTATTGAAGTCATCAGTGCTGATCATAACTGACACTAAAATTTGCACAAGAACAACCACAATTAAACACAATCAAGAGGTGGCAAAGAAATGGGTCCAAGAGGGTCCAAGAGCAGAGAGGAATTCACTGACCAAGTGTCACCCCCACCAAAAGCATTCAACATTGTCCCCAATGTGATTAGAGAACGAACATTACCGCAAATAAAATAAAAATAGGAATAAAAACTAACAACTAATAATAAAATTCTATAGTGTAAACAGGCAGAGTAAGGTGACGAGCAATCTTCACTAAGTGCCCAGTTTGCGAGAGAATGAACCAGTCACCGAATACTTCGGCGATGCGTCCAATGATCTGAATATCGCCCTCAGTTCTAGTGAGCTGCACTCTCAAAAAGGGGAAAATCGGCGGAGATGCAGGAGGTCACCGAACAGGTCGGCAAGTCACATAATAGACTTGGAACATCACCGAACAATCACTGAGTTACGTTGTCAGCGCTGAAGTAAAAGGACGAGAAAAATCGCCGAGTGGTAGAGTTCTCTCGCCGAATGTTCCAGAATCTCAACCCCATTTTTGAAGTCCATAGGGCGGACTGTGTCGTGCTCGCCGAATGGTTTCAGCGATCCACCAACAACATCTTTTTCTCGCACAAGATCCTACGCCTGCAAATTCAACACACATTATTCAAAACACTAACACCTGGGTTGCCTCCCAAGAAGCGCCTTACTTAACATCGTGGCACGACATGGAAATATTATCAAGCATCTTCCAGGTACACCACCTCAATTAGAGAAATCTCTTGGTACTCGCCATAGTATAACTTCAAGCGTTGCACATTCACCTTAAATACAGGTCCTTCTTGACCTTCAACCTCGATGGCTCCGTTTGTAAACACTTGTGTCACTCTAACCAGCCCTGACCATTTGGACTTAAGCTTTCCTAGAAAAAGTCTAAGTCGAAAGTTGTTTAATAATACCCAGTCTCCCACTCTGAACTCCCTCTGAAGGATTTTAGAATCATGTCATTTCTTCATCTTTTCCTTGTAAAGGGATGAACTTTCGTAAGCCTTGAACCTGAATTCGTCTAGCTCATTTAACTGGTCTACTCTCTCTTTTGAAGTCTTGGTCCAGTCCAAATTTAGAGCTTTCAATGCCCACAAAGCTTTGTGTTCTAATTCAACTGGTAGATGGCAAGATTTACCGAAAACTAGCTGATATCGAGACATACCGATAGGTGTTTTGTATGCAGTGTGATACGCCCATAGGCTGTCATCAAGATTTCGAGACCGATCAATCATGTTTGCATTCACTATCTTGGCCAAGATGCTTTTGATCTCCCGATTTGACACTTCAACTTGTCCACTCATTTTGGGGATGATACAAAGTAGCTACTTTGTGTTTCACTCTGTACTTACTTAATACGACTGAGAATCACTTATTACAAAGGTAGGATCCACCATCACTAATGATAGACCGAGGAGTACCAACTTTAGCAAAGATGTAGCGTTTCAGGAATTGAACAAAACTTTTCCCTTTATTGATTGGAAGTGCAACAACTTCCACCCATTTAGAAACATAATTTACGACCACCAAGATATACTTATTACCAAACGAGCTCACAAATGGGCCCATGAAATCTATTCCCTAAACATCAAATAGTTTAACTTCTAAAATGGGTAAAAGAGGTAACTCGTGTCTTTTGGACACTCCACTTTGTTTTTGACATTGAGTGCACGTCTTCACAAACTCACGTGCGTCCTTGTAGAGGGACGACGAGTAATAGCCACTTTGGAGAACTTTAGCATCTTTATGCACACCACCATGATGACCTCCAACCGATGAAGCATGACAAGCATGGATAATTTCTATGGCTTCTTCTTTCAAAACACACCTTCTAATGATATGGTTTGCACACTCTCTGAATAAATATGGTTCATCCCAAAAGTACTTTTTAACATCGAACATGAACTTCTTTTGTTGGTAGAAGTTCAGTTCATCCGACATTAATCCACACCCTACGTAATGGGCAAAATCAGCATATCAAGGAGGTTGTTTGAGAGTTACTGTGAAAACTTCTTCATCGGGAAAAGAATCATTTATGTCAATCTCAACCTCGTCATTCTCCTTGCCTTCCAATCTTGATAAGTGGTCAGCCACCTGATTTTCACAACCTCTCCTATCTTTGACCTCAAAGATGAATTCTTGCAATAGTAGCACCCACCTTATCAATCTTGGCTTGGCATCCTTCTTTTCTATTAGATAACGCAGTGCAACATGATCAATGTGAACAACCACTTTAGTACCTAGCAAGTATGCCCAGAACTTCTTAAACACATATACTACCGCAAGTAACTCTTGTTCAGTAATGGTATAGTTATGATGAACATTGTTTAGAGTCATGCTTGTGTAGTAAATGGGGTGAAATAGTTTGTTGCATTTTTTATCCAATACAACACCCATTGCCGTTCCGCTTGTGTCACATAATATTTCGAAGGCTTCTGACCAATCGGGACTAATGATGACCAGGGTGGAGACCAATTTTTCTTTCAAGTACTTGAAAGCAACCATGCAGGCATCATCAAAGTGAAATTTTACCTCCTTCTCTAAGAGTTTGCATAGAGGATGTGCAATCTTTAAGAAATCTTTGATGAACCTCCGGTAAAAACAGGCATGTCCCAAGAAGCTCCGAACACCCTTCACCAAAATTGGTGGTGGTAATTTCTCAATCACTTCAATCTCCACTTTATCAACCTCCAGCCCCTTTTGTGACACTTTATGACCAAGGACTATACCCTTCTTAACCATGAAGTGGCATTTTTCCCAATTTAGGACCAAGTTTGTCTCCACACATCTTTGGAGGACTTGTCCTAAGTGTGTTTAACAAGCTTCAAAAGTGTTACCCACAACCGAGAAGTCATCCATAAATACCTCCATTGAATCCTCCACCATGTTAGCAAAAATAGATAGCATGCAACATTGAAATCTTGCCGGAGCATTACATAACCCGAATGGCATCACTTTAAAGGCTAAAGTTCCATAAGGGCATGTGAAGGTAGTTTTCTCTTGGTCTTCCGGAGTAATGAAGATTTGGTTGTAACGGGAATACCAATCAAAAAGGCAATACCAACCTCTCTCTGAGAGTCGATCAAGCATTTGATCCATGAAAGGCATGGGAAAGTGATCCTTTTCGGACCACGAATTTAACTTTTGGTAATCCATGCATACTCTCCATCCGGTCACCGGTCTCATAGATAGAAGCTCCCCCTTTTCATTTGGGACTACTGTGATACCTCACTTTTCCGGTACACATTGTACCGGACTTACCCATTTGCTATCCACAATAGGATAGATCACACATGCATCCAACCACTTTATAATCTCCTTTTTCATCACCTCTTGCATTGGTGGGTTCAATCTCCACTGATGTTCGACACTCGGCTTACAATCACTATCAAGATGAATTTTGTGAGTGCAAATACCGGGAGGAATGCCCATTATGTCAGCGATAGTCCAACCTATCGCTTTGATATGCTTTCTTAAAACCTCGAGGAGCAATTTTATTTTCCATTCAAGCAAGTCACCTGCAATGATCATCGGTAAGGTGTTATTTGCCCCAAGAAAGCATAACAGAGGTGAGAGGGAAGTATTTTCAACTCCATATTTGGTTGCTCTTTAGTTGATGGCTTAGCGGGAGGACTCTCTCGATTCTTTAGATCAATGTCCAACTCTTATGGAGCCTTTGAATATCCCCCCAAGCTTGAAAGGGCAGCTACTACCTCTTCATAGCCTTGAATTTTGAATTCATCATAGTTAGCAAGCACGACTTCAAGTGGTTCACTCATACATATCAAATGGCTCACACTAGCCACCACCTCATCAATAACATCAATAGTAGAGACCACATGAATATCACTTGGGTATTTCATTAACTTACAAACATTGAAGGTTACTTCATCTTCGTTCACTTGGAACTTCAATTCTCCACTTTCAACATCCACCAATGCTCTCCCGGTTGCTAAGAATGATCTTCCCAAAATGATGGGAATTTCAGAATCTATTTCACAATCGAGAATGACAAAATCAGCCGAAAAAATGAATCGGTCAACCTTTACCAAGATGTTATATAGTATCCCCATGGGATGTTTAATTGATCAGTCCGCCGTCAAGAGTCTCATTGTTGTGGCTTTAGGCTCCCCCAACCCAAGTTGTTTATAGATAACATATGGCATTAGGTTGATACTTGCTCCCAAATGGCATAGGGCTTTAGTAAATTGGAGCATGCCGATAGTGTAAGGGACGGTAAATAGTGCAAGGGATGGTAAACGCTCCGGGATCTTCTCTCCTTTTTATTAGCTCCTTAGTCATAATTGCACTACAACTTTGGGAAAATTCAATTGTCTCAAAATCCAAGCTCCTTCATAAACTTGGCATAACCTGGCATTTCCAACAATGCTTCCACAAGGGGGAGATTAACTGATAATGTCTTGAACACCGATAAGAACTTCTCATCCTCATTCGTTTTCTTTAGACGTTGGGGAAATGGGGGAGATATTTTGGGTAAAAGTTGCATAACTTTTGGGATTGGATTGTGTTTCTCCATTTCCCTCTGTGGTCCTTTGGCAATGCTTTGATGAATAGGTGTCTCTTCTTCCTCCATCACATCACCTATTGCTACCTTTCCACTATGAGTAACCACAGCCAACCCTCTATCGTCATCTTCCATTGTCAATTTTGGTTTCAATTGTGCTGAAAGTAAACTCAACTAACCTTCAAGTATCTTGATTTCATCTGCGTGAGAGTTCACTTTACTGTTCAATTATGAAAAGTCAACTTTCATCCCCTTCAACAAATCATTCGAACCTTCAACTTTATCAAGGATGTGTGACAACAAATCATTCACCCGGGGACTACTTGCACTCCCGTTCGATTTTGGGCTATCACTCAAGTGAGTGTGGTCCTCATCATGGTCATCCTCCCTTATCCAATAATCACTTTTTTCAGCCCAATCTTGGTAGTTTGTCATTTGCTCTTCCCCCTTGTCATAGTTCCAACCTTGATTTCCACCTCGCTGTAAATAGTGTGGGTGAAAACTCTCCTCATATCTCTTAGAGTTCCAACCTTCATTCTCCCCGGCTTCGAATAACTTGAGAAAGAACCCTTTTCAACTTTAAACACTCCACTTGTCCCCTTGGGTTTTCCCACATTTTTTATCATATGCTCTTGTAATAGCTCCATTTGGGTCAACATTTTCTTGATGTTTGCATCCATTTCTCTTTCCTTATCAAGTTGTTCTTGTGTCATTAAAAAACAAAATGGAGAGACTTGATCCTCTTAAGTGTACCAAGCTTGATTTATTTTCATCATGTCATCAAGAAGAAATGAAGCCACTTCAAACAATTGCAACATTATTCCCTCTCGTACCAATTGATCAGCCACTCCTTGATTAACCGAATCAAGACTCCGGTAAAAATATTGGAGTAGAAAATCATTTGGTAGCACGTGAGTTGGGCATTTAAGTAAGAGTTTCTTAAATCTCACCCACGTTTCATGGATGGGTTCACCCTCCCATCATTTGAAACCTTGAATGTTGTCTCTAAGTTTTATCATCCTTGATGAGGGAAAGAATCTTGCATTGAATGCTATAATCAGCTCCTCCCATGATGTGATGGAATTGTTCGGTAACTCGGCCAACCACTTGCTAGCCTGCCCCGTTAAAGATAGTGGAAATAACCGAAGCGGGATTGACTCTTGAAACACATTCTTGAATGAAAACGGGCAGCACACCTCTATAAAAAAAATTCATGCTCATGCAGGTCTTCGTGTTCTAGCCCTCCGTAGAGTCCTCTTATTTTGAGGAGATGAAGAGTCATTCTAGTGACCTTAAATATTGCATTCCCATCAGCTTGTGGTATGCAAATTGCACTGATTTCACCTACATGAGATGGGTTGTAAACACTATTGATATAATCGATACCGTCCCGATGACTTGCTTGACTACCATTCACCTCTCTTTACTCATTTTTACTTCTATGTAACCCAACCAACACTACACAATGCAGCTTAAGCAAATTCAACTATAGCCAACAAATTCACAAATCAAATCTTTGATCAAAGAATTCTAAGTAAAGCTACTCCCCGGTAGTGGTGCCATTTTGATTAACATTTCAAAGACACTTCATCCAGTTCTAAGGGTCAACGATCGCTAGTCAATATATAACCCAACTAAATGAGTTGGGGTCAATCCTACAGAGAGTAACTTTTCCTTCAAATTCAATTATGAAAGTATGACAACAATCTCTTCAACGGAATAGTTAATGTACCTTTTTTGTTTAAGCTTCAAATTTCAGTTTATATTTATCAATCCAAT